ACCGGCTTGGGAAGTTTGCTGCGCAGACGTGCTCATGGCTGTGGTAGCCATGGCTGTTGTAGCACCGGCCTCGCTAGCTAATGCCCTACTGGCCTCGGCTGCTCTAGCTCTTCTCTGCTGCTGCCTCTCCCGCTGCCGGCGGAACAGTTCCCTATCACCCTCCGGTCCTAAGGACACGTGAGTTATCGGGCCTCTAACTGATCGCAAGATCCTGCGGTCGTCCTCTTCGGTGTCCCCTGTGTCGCTCATAGGCTACAACACTGTGCGCTGTCTACACTAGATCATTCTAGATGCCTACCGCAGCATAGTGCACATACCAAATAATTGATGGTGACTACTTTTGGAACAGATCTCATTTGGGGTCAGCAGATGATTCAGACTCCTACAACTAAAACTATTTTTAATATGACTCGTCCGCAAACAGAAGCACCAGGAACAATCAATAGTTCTAACTAATGTTGTCTGTCAGATGTCAATGGCAGTCCATCTAACTAATCAAAACATAAAAATAGAATCACTTGTGTGGATAGGACAGCATGGTATTTTCTCGAACTTGTCACTTGGAATCAACCCCTCCCTCTAATCTACACTTGAGTATCTCTTGCCGTCAGCGTCCTGAGCAATCGGGTAGCATGCGTGACTGAAGGTGTGCAATCCGGTCCCACCCCTGTGCCCCAGGTTATCGTCGAGCAAGGCAGCCACAACACTCTTATTTATCCTCGTACGCCGATGAGCCTTACACTCGGTTGATCTGGCTGATCAAGAGGCAATTTGGCGTCCGCCCCCAAGTGACTCCAGGAATTATTTTACGTTGCAGCCGGACGACGATCACAGCCAGATTCAGATCCGAGTCCCCAACCAGAAATGTTTACAGACGGTCTGGTAAGCGTCTCAAGAGGCTGCCACACCCGAGTTAACCTCTATCTGGGCAAGCAGCAGAACCAAAGACTTGCAGCGAAGCATGCGTGTACTACACCCAGTGGGTTGGCATGGTGACCGTGACCCAGTGCTTCGTCCAGGGCCCTTCAGAAAGCAACGCCCTATTCCCCCTGATGCTCCACAGGAAGTATGCCGACTCTCAAGGTTGAGCGCACTCGACACCTCACGATGAGAGGACTCTCAAGTTGGATCACACAACCTCACGGTAAGAAGTGTCGGAGAGGGTAGATAAGGTTGGGAGTAACGTACCTCAATATTGCTGCCCCCAACCACAGAGATAATCTTACCAGATGACCCAATGGCAATTGCGATGACCAGTCACTGCATCGGCACAACCAGCATTATCCGCCATTCCACCTCAGCATCAATCGCA